CATGCCTATAATAATCCCAGTGCTTTGGGAGGCTGAGGTGGGAGGATTGCTTGAGGCCAGGAGTTTGAGACCAGTCTGGGCAACAGAGCAAAACCTTGTCTCCAGAAAAAAAAAAAAAAATTAACAGGGAGTGATGGCACCAGTAGTCCCAGCTACTCAGGAAGCCTAGGTGGGATGGTCACTTGAGCCCACTCCAGCCTGAGCAACAGAGTGAGAACTGTCACTTAAAAATAAAAAAATAAATAAATACATAAATGCAAAAATTTTAAAAATACTTGCCCCAGGGTGCGTAAATTTGAACAACATTGTTTATCAGGCTACTACTCATTCCCAAACTGGCTGGAAGAACTTAGCTTTTGCTATGGGGAGAAACAGCCAGCCTCCTTGGATTCCAGCTATGACAAGCTCCCATTCTGGTTCTCTGATCAGCAGGACACAAGAGTAGAAGAAAAGTGACTGAATCATTACTGCCCCAGTTAACTATTTATTTATTTACTTATTTAGTCTCATTCTGTCACCCAGGCTGGAGTGCGGTGACATGATCATGGCTACCACAGTGTCATCCTTCTGGACTCAGGCAATCCTTCCACCTTAGCCTTCCAAGTAGCTGAGACTGCAGGTGCATACCACCACACCTGGCTAACTTTTAAATTCTATTGTAAAAATGAGGTCTCACTATGCTGCCCAGGCCGGTCTCAAACCCCTGGACTCAGGCAATCCTCTCTCCTCCACCTCCCAAAGTACTGGGAATACAGGTGTGAGCCACTGCATCTGGCCCCACTTAACTCTTCATAGGGCCACTACCCAGGACTTGGATCTTGGCTTTGGAGATGTGGCCATGCTTATTCTCCGACACAAGGGCCAAAGGTTACTTCCAGCATTCCAGCGGTTGTTGACATTGAGAATTTAACCAACCAAATACAGGCTAATTCTCAGCATTACAGCAAATGTTTCTGAAGCATGTTGGAAATAATAGCTAGAAGGAAAGATGTTGTTGATGCTACATATGAGTTCTTGTTCGGTTTCTGAGTCCAGCACATTCAGTCCACATTTATTTAGCACTGACTGTATGCCTGGGCACTGGAGGTTTGAGATACGTGAAAATCCCTGCCTGTGATGTTCACATTCTAGAGGGGAGATAGACAGGACAAATGGTCGTTTCTATGAGAAGGCCATGTGTGCCATGTAAGACAGGCAGGGGAGGGGACTGGAAGGGCGGGAGTGGGGGAACATAGGCTGCAAAGAGTAAGCGAAGGTTATGCTGAGGCAGTGACATCTGAGCAGAGTCTGATGGAGATGAGGGAGAGAACCATGCCAGTATCCAGAGAAAGCTTTCCAGTGAGGGAGACCAGCAAGTTCAAAGGTCCGGAGGCAGAAGGAGCATGCTCAGCAAACTCAGGGCACAGCAAGAAAGGCTGTTCCAATGTGAGCCAGGGTAAGAGGGGCTTCAATCCCAAGGACCGGTGGCTTATAAACAACAGAAGTTAATTTCTCACAGTTCTGGAGGCCGGGGAGTCCAAGATCAAGGCAGATTCAGTACCTGTTAAGGGCCTGCTTTCTGGCACATGGACTGCATCTTCTTGCAGTGTCTGGACGTGGTGAGAGGAGCAGGGGGTCCCACTCAGGCCTCTTTTATCCCACTCATGAGGGGTCTGCCTTCATGACCTGGTCACCTCCCAGAGGCCCACCTCCTGATACGCTCACCTTGGGGTTTGGATTTCGACCTGTGCATTTAGCAGGGAAGGGATTCAGATCACAGGAAAGAATAAGAGCAGATGACTTCCTACCCCTCAGGGAGTAAAGAGAGTGGATGGTGTGTCTCATGGAAGGACTATGGAAGGACTTTGGCTTTTAACCTGGGAGAGTTGAGGAACCATTTGGAGGGTTTTGAACAGACCAGAGAGATACAGTCTGTATTTGAAATGGATCATGTTGGCTTCTGTGTTGAGAATGAATGGTATGGAGGCAGGTTGGGAGTTTATTGCAATTATCCAAGCAAGGCATAAAGAGGGCCTGAGCAGGGTGAGGGGTGGGAGAGGGGTGAGAAGTGGTTGGATTCTGGATACACACACACACACAGAGAGAGAGAGAGAGAGAGAGAGAGAGAGGGTCTCTGTTGCCTAGGATGGAGCGAATGGCACTATTACTGCTCACCTTCGCCTGGCCTCCTGGGCTCGGGCAATCCTTCTACCTCAGTCTCCCAGGTAGCTAGGACTATAGGTGGCACCATGCCTCGCTACTTTTTTAATGTCTTTGTAGAAATGAGGTCTCCCTATGTTGTCCAACCTGGTCTTGAATTCCTGGATTAAAGCAACCCTCCCATCTTGGCCTCCCAAAGTGTTGGAATTGCAGGCATGAGCCACCACACCTGGCCTGGATACATTTTTGAAAGTGAAGCCAAGAGGGTTTCCTGAGCGACTGGATATGGCTTGGGAGAACAAGAGAGGAATAGACGTGGACTTGGATCCCCAGAGACTTGCTCCTGTTGACATGCAGCTGAAGTATTTCTTCTTACCACTCTCCATCTACACAACTTGGATGATTCACTGCTCCATTCACTCTCCTATCAAACACATGAACTGATGCAAAAGCCACCTGATGCTCGTGGCCAAGACACTTCTCTCGAGAACACAAAATTCAGCTGGAAATCATACTCACCTGATAGTGACTTATGCAAGAAAAACAGTGCAAATCTATGAGCAGACACATACTGAAAGGAAGGGCCCTGACTTTTCTGCAAAATCTGACAATGAATATATATAATAGATGTTCACAGAAAATTTTTGATTCCCTCTTCTATCAAGTTTTTTTCTCTTCTAATTGAGAAATGATCTGTTCATATCACATTGAAGATGACTGTTTTCCTTGCATGCTGTTGATAATTTTTTTTTTTTTTGAATCAGGATCTCATTCTGTTGACCCGTCTAGAGTGCAGTGGCATAATCATGGCTCACGGCAGCCTCAGCCTCTTGGCCTAGGCAATCCTTCTGCCCTAGCCTCCTGAGTAGCTGGGACTACAGGCACAGGTTACCTACCATGCCTGGTTAATTTTTTATTTTTATAGCAATGAAGTCTCGCTATGTTGCCCAGGATAGTCTCAAACTCCTGGGCTCAAGCGATCCTCTTTGCCTTGGTCTCCCAAAGGCTGGGATTATAGACACAAGTCACTGCACCTGGTCTGATAATTTTTATGCACTGAAAATGTTCATACCAACAGCAAATACTTTTTCTTGAACCATGTTTTACTTCTCCATTCAGTGTACATGAGAACAAGGATCCCATTTCTAATGTGTTTTGTGGAGAAAGAGTTCACCACGACTTAAAACCAACCTTTGCAATTAGATTGTAAGTGATAAGAATATACAGTTTGAGAGCCCATAGTCAACTAATTGCAAACTGTAGGCTTTTAAAAACTATAACTCTATTACTAAATACATTGCTTAATCTGCTATATGCAGCAAATAGTATTCAAAAGAGATTCACAAAGGCAATGAAATCAATGTCAAAGAGATGCCTTTCACTCTCAGGTTCACTATAGAATTATTCACAACAGCCAAGATATGGAATCAACCTAAATGTCTATCAATGAATGAATCAGTAAAGAAAATGTGATATATATACACAATGGGATACTATTCTGCCACAAAAGAGGAGAAAACGATGTCATTGACAGTAACATGGATGAATTCAAAGGACATTATGTGAAATGAAATAAGCCAGGTACAGAAAGACAACTACCGCACAATCTCACTTATATGTGGAATCGAAAAAAGTCAAGCTCATAGAAGCATAGAGTGGAATGGTGCTTCCCGGGGACTGTGGTGGCTGGAAGTGGTGCTAGGGAGATACTGGTCAAAAGATACGATAAGTTAGTTTGAAGGAGTTAAGTGTTCAAAAGATCTGCTGTGGAACATGGTGACTATAGTTAACAACAATGTATTGTCTCCTTGAAAATTGCAAGTAGATTTTTAGTGTTCTTACCACAAACAAAACAATGTGAGGTAGTACATGTTATTTAGCCTGAATTAGCCATCTTGCAGTGTATATGTATTTCAGAAACATTATGTTGTACAACATAAATGTATATAACTTTTGTCAATTAAACTTTTTAAAGTGTAAGGATTTTTTTCAAAAGTGTTACTTCATTTTAATTGTGGAAAATTAGAGGATTTGTAAAAACACCCTGTGGCCCCTAGGGGGCGCAGGTGGGCAGAGGTCAGAGCGGAGGGTTTGATTCCATCCCCTCCCCCCACCTGTTTACTGGGACTGCTGCAGAGAATAGAAAAGGGGGTGTATGTCCCCTGCAGAGAACACTCACTGCAGAGTGCTGGTGGACACAAGTGTCATACGTGTCTAAACACTTCTGGGTTTTGGTGAAGTGGAGTAAATATGCAGAAACTGTGGAAATCTCCACTCCAAGCCTCCTGTCTCACCTACAGAAAGGGAGAGCCCGTGTCTCTCAGGTCTGTCTGTGTGGCTCCGCATGGGCTGCTCTCTGAATGTCTACGTGTGTTTTTTTCTGTCTCTCTCTGTCTTTCACTGTGTGTGTCCCTTTCCCTCCTTCCCCCCCAGGTTTGTGTCCCTGTCCCCCCTCCCCTGCTGTTTGTGTCTCTGTCTCTCTCCCTCCCTGTGTGTGAACCTGTCTCTTACCCTCCCTGTCTACAAAGCAGGGTGCCCACAGAGTTCCAGGTTTTTCTTTCTATAAGAAATACAAGAACACTGTTGAAAGTACATGATCTTGGTTAAATTATGCAAAACTCAAGTTCTAAATGTTCTGCCAGTAGGCTAAACTGCAAATTTTCCCTTCAGGAGATGAAACAACATCCAAGCACACCCCTCCTGTATCTCCCTTATACTTCCAAGACATTTTTCTATCACATAGATGCTTAGAATACTTTTACTGACTGAACAGGATTATTTCCCTCTTTCTTCAATATTGTATTGATGTTTCAAGCAGCACTGATAGCACCATGTTCACTGTAAGAATTTCATACACCAGCTTAATTGCTGCATGAATGTCATTCATTTATTGAAATTAACATGATTATGAACACATAATGAAACAAATATTCCTCAAAAGAGGAAGGTGGTTGTGAACCAGCGATAGGACCAAAAACAAACAAAAAGCTGTCTTTCCCAAACAGAGGTCCCGGGAGTCGGCTTCCAGCCTCAGCTGATCCGTGCCCTGGGATTGGAGGGCACCTAAGTCTGTGTCTCTGCAGGGGCCAGGCTCTGCACTAGGAGGTGCAGGAACGTCTCCAGCTGCTTCCGGCACCTGTAGGCAACAAGTCCCCCCTTGTTGGCCCACCGGTCGACCCCAGCAGCACCCTCATTCCCCACGTGGTACACCAACTGAGGCAGCTCCAGCCCTGTCTCTGGATCTCTCTCTAAGCTTTCCTTCAAGTCTACCATTCCCCCGCCCATGGCCTTCAGGATGGCATGGGCGGCACAAGAGTCCCACTTGAACGTGGTGTCTTCTGAAAAGATGTAAATGTCAGCGAGGCCTTGGACCACACAAAGGCTCTTGTACCCGGCCCCGGCTGCCCCAAATAGGCGATCTCCACAGACACGCGACAAGGCAGCTTTGATGGGCTCCTTTTCACTTGTGCTGATGACAGCTGAGAGCTGGGGGGAGGGGTCCGCCTCGGCACTGGTGCTTTTGGCCGGAGTGTCACTGCAGTGTCTCTGAGAGGTGGCCAGCTGGAGCGAGTGGATGTTGGTCTCCATGTAAGAAAGGCCCCAGTAGCACTGTCCTTTCCACCTGTAGAAGCAAAACCTCACTGGGTGATGATGATTACACTCGGCCATTATCCACGTTGCCTTCACATTGAATGGTGCGAAAAAACATACAACTCATCCTAACATAGTAAGTCTTAATGCTGGTAAGCCTAGAACTAAATACCAAGTAGCTGGTTCATTTCTAAAAGTTACTCCTACGCACGCATGCAGCTGCCTGCGCTGTTGGAGAGTCAGGAATACTTTCCATTTAACCACATGACCACATCAATCTAGGATAGCACTCAAGTATTTGTGGGATGTCTAGCCTCCAGAACCACTGTAAAATCTCATGGTCACTTTTGGCATTTAAAGTTTGATAGGACAAAAGGTAAATAATATCTCCTTGCAATCTGCAAATATTTAGATTTTTTTTTTTGAGTTTGGGTCTCACCCCATTGCCCAGGCTGGAATGCAGTGGCACAATCATGGCTCACCATAGCCACGACCTTCTGGGCTCAGGCAATCCTTCTACCTCAGCTGCCAAGTAGCTAGGACTACAGGCATGTGCCACCATGCCTGACACATGTTTTGATTTTTGTAGAGACAAGGTCTCACTATGTTGCCTAGGTTGGTCTTGAATTCCCAGGCTCAAACAATCCTCTTGCCTTCCTAAATGCTGGAATTACAGGCATGAGCCACTGCACCCAGCCTCAATCTGCAAATCTTTTACAATCCTTATAGCAAGGTTTTCTCCATTTGGTAACTCTTTTTCATTCTCTTATTCACTGGTTCCTCTATGGCTTCTAATACAGTAAGGCCCCAAATACAAAAGAGCACTTAAGTCCATTTGTTGTAAGTACAACAAAGTTAGCCTAGCTACCCAACTAACATAATTGGTTATATAGCACTGCATGTACTTAACAGGTTATACTGACACTTGATGGAGAGAAATAGTGCATTAAAAAAACACAGGTGTGCATCCTTAAAGTTTGCAACTTGAAAGCTCGTATGTAGGGGACTCACTGTACCAAGAAAGATGGGATTCATAATGTCATTTTTGCCAACAACAGTAATAATAGTGCATCCTGCTTATTAATGCTGAACTTACTATCTATGTTGGGTAATTGACTTGATTTACGGATAAGGAAACAGAGACTTAGAGAAAGGAAATAACTTGCTGAGGCCCACCTCAGCTGATAAGTGGTGGGACTGCACTCAAGACCAGGCAGCCTCACTCCAGAGTCGGTGCCACTAACCATTTTGCTGGACACCTCCATTTACAGGCCATGACTACATCTGCATATTGTCCCAACAAATTTCTTCCTGACATTTAAAAAATAATAGAACAAAGCTGGGCTTCGTGGCTGATGCCTATAATCCTAGCACTTTGGGAGGCTAATGCAAGAGGATTGCTTGAGCCTAGGAGTTTGCGACTAGCCTGGGCAGCACAGTGAGATTTCATCTCTACAAAATATAAAAATTTAGTGGGATGTGGTGGTGTGCACCTGTAGTACCAGCTACTCAGAAGGCTGAGGCAGAAGAATCACCAGAGTCTGAGAGGTAGAGGCTGCAGCAAGCCATGATCGTGCCACTGCACTCTGACCTGGATGACAGAGTAAGATCCCAACAAAGAAAAAAAAAGAAAGAACACATTGTTGGTTTGGAATGGGGGGGATAGAAAAAATAACAAAACAATTCTTTTTTTTTTTTTTTGAGTCGGAGTCTCACTCTGTCGCCCAGACTGGAGTGCAGTGGCCACTCCCAGTCACTGGAGCCTTGACCCGCTTCGCTCCAGCGATCCTTCCGCCTCAGCCTTTCAAGGAGGTGGAATTAAAGGCGTGCGCTACCACGTCCGGCTAATTTTTTGATTTATTGTAGCGATGAGGTCTCGCCAAGTTGCCCAGGCAGGTCTCGAACCCGTGGGCTCAGGCAATCCACTCACCTCAGCCTCCCAAAGCGCGAGATTACAGGCTGAGCCACTGAGCCCGGCACAAAACAATTCTTACTCACCTGAAGAACTCAAAGTTCAATAAAAATGTGTAGTCCTATATAAATGGAAAAGTATGACCTATTTCGGGAAGCTGCTTTTTGGAAGCTGCTTTTTCCACTTGGACTCTGCCATGCCCTGGAGTCAACCTCAGAGCACAGGCCATGGATCAGAGGCAACTGAGTCCTGGCTACCCTCTGTGCTCCGTCAAGAGTCCACAGAAAGGGCAGGAGGGAAAAAGCAGCCAGGGAGGTGATGCGGTAGCATTTATGAGGAGATTTTCGCATTTTATTTTGAATGTCTGCTAAAATTACATTAAAAGTTCAACAGTGATGACATCTCTCTTGTTCTAAATGTATTACAGGCAGTCTTAGCACCATTCTATTAGTCTGGTTTTAAGTGGATTCTAGAAACAGGGAACAGGATTGCTATATCCCAAATGTAAAACCACGATTTCTCCAAGATAGTATTCATTTTTAAGTATATACCAGCATGCACTTGGCCCCAAGTAAAATTATGCCAACTCCAAAATTGAAAATAGAACTTGAATTCAAGCATGCAGACGTTGAGTGGGAACACGCTGTGGACCACATCGTGGGACTATCACACAGTGACAATCCTAAAAATAAGCAAAGCTGAGGTCATAAGTACCAAAAACCATGATACACCAAAAACGTTTTGCCTTTTACCTGAGGGTGTTGAGGTCGTGTGACGCAAAAGGTTGATTGATGACTCCCATCAGAGGCACTCCTGTCTGGATGTCATAGACACCAATTAAAATGGTGACGCACTGAAGTCCACAGGGGAAGATCCCCTGGTTGGATTTAACGTCAGCAGAACCTTTTATGTACTGGTAAGTTGAATCTGAAAAATGAAGCAAATGTGTTTGGATTCAGGTAAAGATTTAGAAGAGAATGATGAATACATCTATAAACTTTGTCTTAGATCATGTTTCTCTGCTACTAATCAGGTTTTACCTTTGGCTGTCCCTTGTATTGAATTATTTGACCTCTTGTAATTCACTTTTAAGCTGCTTGTGTTTCATTTTCCTGACTATGTGAGGATGCTTGAAGAAAGAGGACATGTCTACGGTTCCTGTGGCATCAGCATAACACCTCACATGTAATAAGCACTCAAAGACTTGTCACTGTCAAATGCACTGAAAAGCTAACAGCTCAGAATAACTGGTGGGATAATTTCAGAACTGTTACTAATCAGAGGACAGTACAATGAGAGAGGGAAAGACTCCTTTCAGGAATCTGCCATATGTGGAATTATTATTATTATTAGTTAGTAGTAGTAGTAGTAGTAGTATTTGGTGCCTCAAGCTGGAAGGAAGAAAGAGACAGTGATGGGGTACAGAATGAAGAAATTAATGGTGCTCCAGTGAAGAAGAGGCAGAGGAGCTAGGTCTCCCCTGAAGAGAGTATAAACCAGCAGCTGAGGGCCAACGTCCAGCGAGTTAACACACAGTAAAGGATGTACCTGGCAAAAGATCCAAAGAGTTAGAAATCAGAATCAGTAGGGTAGAAGCAAGAAACAGGAGACCCCTGTCCCTCAGAACCCATAACCAATGCCACTTTATGTTTAAGTAAGAGATTTCGGGAAAGACTTTTAGGTTCCATTAACATCCACTGGCTGAATGTTAGATAATTCTCTGATGACTAAACCCATTTCTATAAGGTTGTGTCAATGTGCTTGTAGGATGGGAAGCAGAGGTTGCCTGCTCAGCATAAGGAATGGTCCCATTGCTCTGGATGGGATATGCCAGGGAGGAGAAAGAAAAAAGGGAGGGGACTTAAAATTAATACCTAGGACTTTGTATTAATAGTATCACTGAGGATAAGGGGTATATGTTTAAAAGAATGCGTTATAGATTATGGTTCTACCAAAATTATAGCAAAATAGTAATGGTAAGGTTTACACGGGGCTCACAAATGCACGGCTCGTGATCATATTCAGTTGTTAAGCTTGACCTGTTCAGTGCTTTCAATTCTTTGCTTGTTAAACTTTTTAATTCATAGCTAGTGGTTAAAAATTGGGAGTCTCACTTAGGAACCTGGATTTTGGTTTCCCTTGAAAAAAATCTGAAGCATTGGCCCACTCTTCAATATGGCAACAACCTGCTGGAGTTAAGTGCTCTTTAAATGACATGTGTGCCCAATGGGTCACAGCTGTCACTTTATATTCTCATTTATTTATCAATCTGATCCCTGAAATCTTTTAAGGATGAGTTAATTCACATAATTAAAAGATTTCTACACATGAATATACATCTGCATGTGTATGCACATGTGTATACACACACACCTATTATAGATATGTGTATATGTCCACAACACATAATACATACACCTCAACTTTTATCATTTTAAAACTCTAAAAATTTCTAGGAGAGTTAAACTATACTTAAATAATTTTTATTTTTCCAAGACAAAAAAAAAAAAGAGAGAGATTATAAATAAGAGCAAATAAATAAAAGCAAACATACTCTCCTATACTTACCTATGGGATCTACCCAGATCCCCAAAATGTCCTGTGGAATGTTGATCTCCAGCACATCCAGAGTTGGGTCCGTAAAGGTGACATCCTCATGAACAACCCTGGCTAATGCTTCAGATGCTGGCTTGTTGCCATTAAGGACTTTGCTAAGAAGCTCTGCTGTTTCATCCTCTGTTGAGCACAGTCTCAAGGTAATCTTTTCCCCTAGAGTAAAGACAAACTAAAAGCCACTACATTTAAAAGTTTCAGTGGAGAAGGAATACTTGGTGGGGAGATGGAGCAAGGGGGTGTCAGAAGCTGTGCATTTAGATGAGGCGAGGAGAGTGTATCTGCACCAGGGGTGCCAAGGCCCAGCTGGTTACCAGGCCTACCTGGACAGCTTTGTAAAGTCGTGGATGCTCAGTCGTGGCCCATGCACTTCACCTGAACAGGGAGCGATGGGTTCTAGGAATGGAAAGACTTCGCTAGAAAAACATCCGCATGGGCACAGTTTTGTGTCCAATTTAAGAGACACACAGACCAATCAAGGATCCCTCATCCCTTGCCCAATAACCTTTTATTTATTTCTGTCTTTGACTTTAATATGCATTGGTTACCCTGTTGGTATCTGAAGAGATTACTGAAAAGAATGAAGGTTTTATCAGCACACTGAAGTGCTTCGAACTCCTTTTATGATATTGCTTTTAACTTAAAATTCTTTAAGCTAAGAATATAAGATGAAGTATACTAATCTTTTTTTTTTTTTTAACAGGGTCTCAATATGTTGCCTAGGCTGGAGTACAGTGGTGTAATCATAGCTCACTGCAGCCTCAAACTCCTGGGTTCAAGAGATCCTCCTGCCTCAGGCTGCTGAGTAGGTGAGACTACAGGTGCATGCCAACATGCCTGGCTAATTATTTTTTAGAGATAAGGTCTCACCATGTTGCCCCAGCTGATCTCAAATGCCTGGCTTCAAGTGATTCTCCTGCCTCAGTCTCCCAAAGCACTGAGGTTTATAGGTATGGGCCATTGCACCCAGCCACTAATCTTTAAATGTAGTAAACCTGTATGACTCTAAATGATATACATAGAAATAGCTCTCCTCTGCAAAGTTCAATGAGAATAAAAACACAAGCTGCTTCTCCCATGAAACTAGAAGTTACCAAGTCCAGGTGCTTTACACTATCACTTTAAACATGCTTCTTAGACCCTTGGTTCATCTGGTTTCCAGCCCCCAAAGGTAAAAAAAACAGGCAAATTAATAGCAACAAGAAGTGACAGCGATAGAGGAAAAAAAAAAACTGTTAAAAATTAAGACGACATAGCACTTTGTAGGGTATAGACAAATACTCCTGGCTACCCCTTCCATATCTGCATCACCTGGGAGCCTATTGCCAAGTCAGAAGCTCAGACCTACTGACTTAAAAAATTTTTTTAAAAATTTTTCAGTCAGAGTCTCACTCTGATGCCCAGGCTGGAGTGCAGTGGCATACTCACAGGCACCACAGCCTCAACCTGCTGGGCCCAGGCAATCCTTCTGCCTCAGCCTTCCAAGTAGCTGGAACTACAGGTGCACGCTACCACACCCAGCTAATTTTTTAAAAAATTTATTTATTGTGGAGACGAGATCTCGCCAAGTTGCCCAGGCAGGTCTCGAACCCCTGGGCTCAGGCAATCCTCTCACCTCAGCCTCCAAAAGTCCTGGGATCCCAGGCGTGAGCCACTGCACCCAACTCTACTGACTTTTAACAAGATCCTGAGGTAATGACATGATCAGTAAGATCCAGGAATCCATTACAAGGATGATTGAATGAACATGAAACATTCAATTCCAATGAAATTAGACTGTTAAAACTGGTGAATAATAATGCTAATAACTGCCACATACAGAACACCTCTTTTGGGTTCAGGAAGAGTCATGGAATTATTCTAAAGAACAAATCATATCACACTACCCCCTTGCTTAGAATTGGCCAGTGACATCCCATCGCCCTTACAGGGATGTCCAAATTCTCCCTGTGATCTTGTCTTGCCTGCTCTGACATCTCCCATGATCTCTCCTCTTCCTCTCCCCATGTTTCTCTGTCCTTTCAACGAACAGGAAAATAGATGTGGATCTGTCCTTTGCCTCTGTAATTCTAGACAAATGTATCTAAGTAGCTGTGTATAAAGTGTCAGATGTAGTATTTTAAATGTAGGATTTCTTATGAGTCAATCACAAGAGCTATTTTTAACCTTCATAATTTTACAGAGATTTTTTTTTATTATTGTTATAGAACTGCAACTTAATATATAGCCCATGAAGGAGACGAAAAATGTCGAGTTAATCCAGAAATTCATTTTTTTAAATATATGTGCTTCTAGATACTTAACTTTGTTATATGATTAGTGTTTAAAGGTCATTATTTTAGTCATCTACAATTAAACAAACAAAAAACTAGGCCAGGTGTGATGGCTCACGCCTGTAATCCCAGCACTTTGGAAGGCTGAGTTGGGAGGATTGCTTGAGCCTAGAAGTTTGAGACCAGCTTAGGTAACATAGTAAGACCTCATCACTACAAAATAAAAATTAAAAAGTTAGCTGGTGTGGTGGTGCCTGCCTGAAGTCCCAGCCACTTGGGAGGCTGAAGGGGAAGGATTGCCTAAGCCCAGGAGGTTGAGGCAGTGGTAAGCCATGGTTGTGCCACTGCACTCTAGCCTAGGTGACAGAGTGAGACCCCAACTAAACACACACACACACACAAAAAACAAAAAAAACAAAAATGTTTCTCTGAAAGGTATCACATAGAGATTGTGACATTTTTCTCTATAACACAAGGATACGTGGAGGTCTACCTGAAGAGAATTTGGCCCACAGGAAACTAAATAAGTAAGACTTAAAAAACTTGGTACTAAAAGGAAATTTTTAGTTAGGCCAAGTAATTTTGCAGAAGTTCTAAGACTCAGAGAAATGAGTGATTTGTTCAAGTTCACACAACATCTCAGGACCAGGGCCTGTCCTTGCTACTTGTAGCCAAGGTCATGGACCCCAGGGGGGTCCATGAATGGTTTTAAACCTAGGATCTGAAATTGTCTGCACAATTGCACAGATGTTCCTCTTTGGGACATTGATAACTTGCATTAGATTTCCAAAGGGCCAAGCAGCTTTCCCAAGGATAAATCATAAATTACTTATATGCCACAGATGTGTATCTAAAATGACACATGGACTTGCTAAACTATCCTAAGATACCACGTCTCTAGCTCTCTCTGTTAAATGGCATGGTATGCAGGGTAGAAATGAAGTGAACCTTAACATTCAAATATATTACGTTGCTTACATTGACAGGGTTCCTAACATTTATTTCATGGAGTACACTGGAAGTTAGGATGCCATATGATAGTTAAGTTACAGAGACACATTAAGGTTTCTATACTTACCCAGGTCATTAGTGAAGTCATTGGATTCTTCTCCAAAAATATTTTTTCCCAAACCTGGAAACTGAATAGTTCAGAGTATGACCAAAAACAAAACACAGATCCACACATGTTCAATTCTGAACAGATTTCAATCTTATATTTCAAATTAAACAGCACGGTTACATCTGAAATTCCTAAAGTTCAATCCTAGAAACCAACCCAAGCATTAAAAAATGAAGTCAGGTTGGGTCAGTGCTTAACTCTCTAATATTTTCTTGCTTCTTTGCCCCTCTAGAAAGTCCAGATCATGGTAGATGCCTGGTTTTCCTATGTCCTGTTCAGTCTGCAGAAGTAGAAACTAGAAACTTCTGCCTTCTACTTAAGAGCCACAGAACTAGCATGTTTGCAAAGAATATGCTTTAACTGTTGTTCTTAGCAGCACCGCAGCAGCTTTTATGAGTTAATGTGGCTGATCTAGTACTTAAAATTATCACTTGAGACTATATAGAAGGGATTAGAGGATAACATTAAATTTTGTTTTGAGTTGGAGTCTCACTCTGATGCCCAGACTGGAGTGCAGTGTGGCCGCTCCCGGCCACCGCAGCCTCGACCTGCTGGGCTCCGGCAATCCTTCCGCCTCAGCCTTCCGAGTAGCCGGAATTACAGGCATGCGCTACCACGCCCGGCTGATTTTTTGATTTATTGTAGAGATGAGGTCTCGCTGCCCAGGTGGGTCTCGAACCCGTGGGCTCAGGCAATCCACTCACTTCAGCCTCCCAAAGGCGCGGGATTACAGGCTGAGCCACCGAGCCCGGCTTGTTTTCATTTTCAGGTGTGTGTTTCTGCACCTGTTAAAGTACCATTAGCCTTCAGGCTAGGAAGGTCATATGGATAAAAGAGAAATGTCTTATTGACCAATAATTTAAATATCAGTATACTGAGTGAATAAATGAAGTCAAGTAAGAATCTTCTCTCATCTCTGATCAGGAAAATTTCTGATACATTTTGCTTCTGATTCTCTCTGTACTAGTAAAGATCATTTTTTCTCAAAATATGTGAATTATGATATGCATGATGTTCTCAGAGAACAAAAGCAAGGACATGCTTTGAAAACGAACTCAATCACTTGCAGATGGCCAATAGCTTTAATAAATGCCTACAACCATTTGTTATTTTCTTACTTTTTTTTTTTAAGCCACTGCACTCCAGTCTGGGCGATAGAGTGAGACTCCAACTCAGAAAAAAAAAAAAAGAATAGCGTCTGGCACACAGCATTTATAAATGCTGTTAGTAGGATGATTGCTACTTGTGAATACAGTTTCTTTCCCAGTCAGCACAAGATACTTAGACTCATAATCGTTATTAGTGGCAGACAATATTTTTCTACTGGAATAAAGGGAAACTTTAAGTATCCAGCTACAAGCCCATAACTGAGGCAATCATTTGATGAATAGTTAAATCCATATGCTAGGACTTAATATATCAAGTTATTTTTTTTTAAAGTGCTCTCTCATTTCTCTTGAAACAAATTGTAAATGTCATGCACACACATACAATTAGAAGAAAGTGTTCTAATTTTGAGCAAAACATGGCTGTGGTTTTCTCTAGTGGTGGGATTAAGGGGATTTTGCTCATTTTCCAGAGAACTTATATTATTATTAAGAAGCTCATTAGTTAATGAAAGATTTTATATCAAATTTTTATCTCTAGATGTTAGAATTGTGAGTGACTTTTATTATTTGCTTTTCTGTATTTCTGCAATGAACATTTTACTCATATTGTAATTAAAACAAGGGGGAAAAACCCAAGATGTTTATTTGAATCCAAGGAATTCTGAAGGGGCTTGGGGGAGCCACAGAGGCAAATATTTTGCAATTAGCTTGGCCGTGACTTTTCTTACCTTGTCCTCCATATTCTGTTTTATAACCTCCTGGACCAGCACATCAGCCAGGGTCTTGAAGTCGACGGCGAACTTCTTGTTCTTCTCTCCCTCCTTCTTTTCTTCAATCAGCAGCTGGAAGAGGGCTTCTTGCTGCCTGCATGCCCGGGCGATGTTGGCCGCTTTTTCTGAGACACAGAGCAGCTCTCGGAGGATATCTGACATTTCTGAACCTTGTTTTTCAGTGGCAGCTACTGGAGGAACCAGCACCCACCCTCTAGGCTGTCAGCTGGAAATGTACAAGGAAAGAGAAAGCAGTTGAGAGAATAAGGTCAGGGTGCCTCTGGCACTGCTCACAGCTCACCGGGCAGTCAACCTGGTTAGCACAGGGATCAGCTAGCATACAAGGGGGGAACCCCCAAAATGGAATTTATTTCTAAAATATGGTGTATTTATTCTTACATGTTTAAACTTCAGTCACCTTCAATGTGCTCTCCATTTGCTGCAACACACCTATCAAGATGCTTTTTCCGCTGCTCAAAACAGTTGTTGAACATGTCGATTTTGATGCCTTTTAGTGCTTCTTTTAGTGTTTTTTGTTTCACCTCTTCCACATCAGCAAAACGTTTCCCTTTGAAGACATTTTTCATCCAGGGAAACAAAAAATGTTGCTTGGAGCAAGATTGGGCGAACAGGGAGGGTAGAGCACACGGGTCATGCTGTTTTTGGTCAAAAACTTCTGAATACTCAGTGTTGTATGGGCAGGTGTGCTTGGAAATCACCCATCATGAAATGAACAAACGCATTGAAAGAATATCCCCCCCAAATTCACCAAAGCCAAATTCAGCTCTCACAACAATGCTAGCGGGTACACTGATGCCAGTGGATTCCTGGAACACTTACCTCATTGGGGAAGCCTGTACCACAAGGGATTCAACCTCCAACAGATAATTCTGGGGTTTTTGGGGTCCTCCCTCATACTTTCTTCTGATGAACATTAGATTCCTTAATAATTGATAACTCTTTTGGAGAGGAGAAATAAACTCAAACTTTGGGAGGGGTCTCCCCTAATATATCACAATCACATCCTCAGAGCAGGAGACTGCAGGAAGCATCTACAATTTGAAACTTGTTTTTTTTAATCTTCAGAAAAGATATTTGCCCTCTCAAAAATTCATTATACAAAGAATTCCATTCTCAGTGAAAGAAAAATCTTTTCACGAGAATCTACATTAAAAGTCTACATTATATTTATAAATCATCATATAGTCAACCTGGTCAGCATGGTGAATGAACGGCTAATATATATCACACGTGTATCCTCAGGGTGGAAGACTAGATATAATCTAAAATTTGAAACTTTTTTTTTTTTTTTGAGTTGGAGTCTCACTCGGTTGCCTAGACTGGAGTGCAGTGGCCACTCCTGGTCACTGCAGCCTCGACCTGCTGGGCTCCAGCGATCCTTCTGCCTCAGCCTTCCAAGTAGCCGAAATTATAGGTA